CTGGGCATTCAATCTCCATCCCTTGTCTCGCCATTTGTCGTAGTCGATACTGCTCCATGTGTTCCATTCTGCGCCAGACACGTCGCCACTACCCTATCCGGCTCACCGCCCAGCAACTCCGCGATACAGAAGCCATCACCTCATTTCATGAACATTTGCCACGACTGGGGACGGCAGCCCCATACAAGTACAGGTAGTGTGACGGCAGCTTCCATTTGATCCTCATCATAACTGTTGTTCTAGAGAAACGACAGTTCCCGACACGGCTAGAATATGGAAGAAAAAGAAGAAAAGTGGACAACCGTAGCCCAGTAAAGGAAACGAGGCATAGGACTAGAGGGAGGAGGAGTGGCACGACAACAGACAGACTGAAGCTAGGAGGATGGGCGTGCTTCAGTGTACCCCAGGTATGACGATTCGTGGGCAAACGTAGACGTCTGGTCTTGTTTCTGTCCTGTGCTTGGCCGTCGGAAGGAGGCAACACAGTGCCCTATGCAGGTAGCGAGACGGGGAGGTGGTATGTAGGTTCGGGTAGAGGACAGGCGTCGACCATTAGCGCAGTGGGCCATTGTTCGTAAGTAGTTTGACAACGGGAACCCTGCGGAGAATGCTGTCGACTATCAGATTGGCTCGAAGGTGAAGAAAGCAGGGATGCGAGCCAACAACAGGAGAAATGAATTGTAATAGATTCGACATTGTTTCTGTCAACTTCCGCTGAATTCCTGTTTGTTTGATGTTGGATGGGCGTAGGCTGAAGGTCGTCTTGATGCAGGCGGTATTCTCGATGATTCTCGATTGTAATGACCGGAAGAGTGTCCCACATGGTGTCCTTTCGTGGCGTCCTGCAAGCCAGTGCCGTTGATACCCTGCCCAATAGGCGGTTGATGCCCGAGAGTGTGCCTGGAAGGGGCTGTGCGGGGAAGCTGCCCGCCCAGCCACGACCTAGAACTTACTGTGGCCCCTGCGAACCAGTGCCCGAAATTTCCAGACACATCTATGGGTCAATACTTGTAATGACGCTGCATTCTGCATTGATTCTCCTTTTCACATGATGGGTTTCTATGACTTTGCCCAACCGTGATCGTCAGGTCACCAACCAACATTGCGGGGCCTTGTCGCCTCAGAGTAGGCAGCACCATTCTACAAATGGAAGTGACAAAAGTTCGAGAATCCAAAAGCGGAATCGACTGAACTCTCTAGAAATCTCACGCCATTTCTGCATATTTCGACATCCTGGGGTGTTGTCAAGATGAGTTCCACCCTCTATGATACAAACCTAGGGACCTCAGGTCTATAAATCATACCTCATCTCTCCCTCATCAGACAGTCTTTCAGCAGACCAGATCAGAACATCAAAACACTTCATGTCTAATACCCTTCGAAGACTTCCACACCGAGTTACTCCAACAATCTCGCACGTCACCAAGCCAAAGCGAACTCAAACAAGAAACATGGCTCTCTTCCCGCGCATCCCATCCTCATTCGGTCCCTACCGCTCCGAGTTGGGACCATTCTTCAACCTCTTCAACGACACCTTCTCCGAGCTTCAGAAGCTGTCTGACAACGCATCCCGGACCTTTGCGCCCAAGTTCGACGTCAAGGAAGCCAAGGACAGCTACATCCTCGAGGGCGAGCTGCCCGGCATCGACCAAAAGGATGTCATCATCGAGTTTGCCGACGAACAGACCCTCACCGTGAAGGGCCGAACCGAGAGCTTTAGAGAAGAAGGCAGCAAACCCAGCGCTACCGCCGGCGGCGAGGGCAAGAAAGAAGAAGCCGCCGCATCCGGCAGCAAAGAAGTGGCCACCACGGGTTCCAAGGAGGTCGCAAAGTCGGAGCCCCAGCACACTTACTGGGTGTCGGAGCGCAGCGTGGGTGAATTCGCGCGTTCCTTCTCCTTCCCCAACCCAGTCGACCACGAGAGAGTCAAGGCCAGCATGAAGAACGGCATTCTGAGCATCGTGGTCCCCAAGCTGCAAAAGGCCAAGTCGGCCAAGAGGATCGAAATCAGCCAGGAGTAAAGGGACGACACAGATCAACAACGAGGGCAGGATTTTCCACGGAGCTCTAGCAACCAAGAACACCAACCTCGAAAAATCTAACCTTAGCTGCTTCCTCGACACAATCCGACAACCTCTCTCCCTCTAGCACTGTCCTCCAGCCAACACATCGACATCCACAAGTGACAGTCCGACTCCTGCTTGCTTTACGACCTCCACCCACACTCCTTTACCTCCAACAAAAACTCCAAAGTGTGACGACTTCGAAATGACATTCCTTCTCATGAGCTGCATGAATGGTGTTTGGGCGTGCAGTTTCTAGCTTCTAGTTCTGGGATCTCAAAAAACCGACAAAGGGTGTAACAAAGCGACAAAATAGCATCAATCAGCGAACGGATTTCTAGTCTCTAGTTCTTCAGATAGTTCTCCGTGGTTGGTCCTGTAATAAAAAAACATCCATTTTCAAAATCAAAAACTAAATGTTCCTTGTTTGAATTGGTGTTTTGAGTATTTGTTCCGAATTCTTGGTTGACGGAGCATACCGAGGTACAGTAATAGGTACCAAATACATTTGTCAAGTAGAACCACTTGCAATGCAAGTACTACTCGTATAAGACAAAACGAGTCCTCGGACTCTGAACTTGGACACTTACTTGTACTTCCTGGAGGGAGAGTAACTGTAATAGGCAATGTGAGTTGGCATCTAGAGTAGTTTCCTCCAATCAATGAGTTTATGCTGGTAGTGATAAATCGACCTTGACCAAAAAGGGATATATGCCTCACAAGAGAGGATCCATTTCACCACCCACCATACTTGTCGTTGTGGTTGTACTCATTGCACAGAGTATACAAGTATGTGCAAGTCATGTCTGGGAACACAATGCATAAGCACAAATCTGGATAGCTATACTACAGGTGAAAAATCATCAAGCGTGATCCTGGAGCGTGAGATGCTCAATGTTGCTCGTTGGTGCCGAGTCCCGATTCCCCAAGACGCGCATCCGTACTTGTTCCAGTTCTCAAGTCGAAGTTTTGTTGGCACAAAATGTGGTCGATGAGCAAGGATTGCTCGTGCAGTGACAGACGTTGTAGAGTGTGCATAATTAAACAATCCGGAGCACTACCACGGCATATGCACCAGGAGATCATTCCATATCTCGGCTTCACCCTTCTTACTGCTCAACGTCGAGAACCCTCGACAAACGGTTGCGTTATTTCCTCGACCCATGTGGTTGAACAGGAAATATTATCCGTCAAAAGGAAAGGAATGACAAAGCAAAAATGGTGGGCCGGCGAAGCTCGGGCTCGGGTTGAGGCCAGAGAAGCTGAATGAATCACCTGTTATGGCTGCACACTGCAAGATCGAACATCTCATCCTTCTTGTCCCTTCTCGGTCTCACCAACCCACCGAAAGAGTCTCTCAGTAAAGAAACACCTGTCGATTGTGATACAATGAGCGGCCGACATAGCGCCATGCCGTCAGAGGCGTTTCGAACAGACGTCCTGGAAGGAAATCGGCCGGGAATCCTCGAGGTATTGACAAAACAGTGGAGTGTCAAGCACCGGCGTCCTCCAAGCATGTGTTGCCCTATCACAGCCAGAACTGGAGACGATGAAAGAAAGATCTGAGATCAACACCTCGTAAACTTGTCTGAGAGATCAGGAGACGGCGTCGGGTTTCGCTTCAAGGAGGTGAAAACTTACGAATCCCCCCATCCCCCTTAGGCGCGGGATGCACCTACCGCGTGCAACGGTGCGCCGCTGATCCCGGCCTTCTGGGACGAGAACAAAACCGCTACCCATGAGTTGTTGTGTGGGTTTGCGGGGTTATGTCCAGGCTACCACGCACCAAGCATTGCCGATGTCTGCGAGGTTCCTCCTTGACCATTTTCTAGGTCATTGAGCAGACCACGGACGGTCTCGAGGTGACTGCATCCAGAGCTTTCTGACACAGACGGACGGGAAAAGGACGCAAGCTTGCTCCTCCTGCGTCACTTGTATTCTGTTCGATACCCTTGCCGTCGTTGTTCAACACTAGATCCAAGATGCCTCGGAAAGGGATTGGAAGCCAGTAGCATTGTCACGCGTGATATCCAGCAGCATTCACCACAACCTCATAGATCGACTCTCGCTTGGAAATATTGTCCTTGTACCAGCAGGAACTCGTATCATGCTGACAATGTAGACCAAAACTTAGCAGTCGTCGTCCATCTGCTGAGATGATTTCACATCGTACCGACGCTGTTGTCCTGTTCTGTCGAATATGGTCATTGAGATCTCGAATACCAGACTATGGCAACGGCGCTTACCAAGAGTTTGATCCTGCGTATCTGTCAACAAAAGATCTGACGCAGTGCATGACCACCCAAGAGCCATTTGCAGTGCACGAAGTCAAATGTGGCGTGACGGCGAAACGGGAAACAAGAAACAAGTGGATCGGTGTTTTGGGCTGAAGTCGTGCCGAGAGGCACCTAAGCAGCCACCGAAGCCTCTAGAGGTCTCGACCGCGGCGGCTTCCGGGGCATACAGGGAGGCTTTTAGGGGCTTCTAGGAGATTTTAGAGTCCACTAGAGCTTCCTCCTTAATGGCCACGCCTAGAATCCCCCATCGAGTTAGGGGTGACTGCGTCTCATAGGGACTCCCGCCCCGACGCCCAGGGAATTTTTGGTGGGTTGATCGATCAGGTGCCCACCACCATTACCCAATCCTTCTCATAGTGTCCCGGCCGTCACCAGATACACTGCATATCGAAGGATCCTCCCGACCACTCAGCTGTCTGGACCGGGAAACGAGCCTGATCAGCGGAGCGGAACCCTTTTGCTTTGCCCATACCGTGGATTATCGAGTCCATAAAATGCGATGAGAAACCAGGTCTTCAAGTCCCCTTTTCTTTCACCACTCTACCAATCCAAACAAACAGCCAGAACATTATCACAAAGTCCTCAATCACATCACTTCAAGGTCAACCCACTACTACACCTTGTTGAACAATTGTCCGAAATGGTCCAATACGATCAATTCAATGGGATGTTTTCATCCACGTCCCTCCCCTCTCGCCCAAGGGCGGACGGTTCCGAGAGGTCTCAATCTCCGAGTATGTTCGCACCCCATGCTGGGACGTTTTGTTACAGACACTGACAATAGCAGACCAGCCACTTCATCCGCTTCTAAGAAGACTGTCTTCGGCTAGCGGAGCAGGGCCACATCTGTGCACCCGATGCCACCTTCGACGTCCGTCACAAGAAATCCGCTTTCCACTCGACCACGAATGCTCCTCAAGCGAGGAGGAATGGGACGGATTCTGCCCCGACATCCACATGCCCAAAGATCTCACTCCTCCACCATCACCCCATCACAAACGACGACATTCGTGTCTCTGCCCCGTCGGCGTCGTCGCCCAAGAACACCACAAAAGTGGAACCGTGTCGCCGGTGCAGATGACGGTCAAGGAAGCGGCTCAGAGCCATCACTACGGCCACCACCACAACAAATGCAACTGCCAGACTGTCCTTCCAGAAGAAAACTTGGAAGAGAGATACGGTCTTGTTGGAGAGCCCGCCCTGACACGGCGGAAGTTGAGCCTCGAAGAGGGCGCCGCGAACCAACTGGCCAGCATCATGCACGCCGAACTCATCTCAGACATGAAGGCACGGAATAACCATCTCTGAAGAAAGCGATGAAAGGAGCATGTGACCAACAGTTACGACATGACTCCACGATGGTTTTTTGGGGGGAGGAATGAGGATCTTATTTAGTGCAAAAAGCCCGTGTATCGTAATTTCAGGCGGCACAAGGCGTTTGGTTGGGAAACTACGGACACCAGGGTCATAAGGGACACCATTGGGCACCAGGGGAAACCCCACTACGGCTCTACGAAAGGCTGGGAGCAAGTACGAGTAATGACGGTTGGAGGGAAGGGGCGGGCCTTTCTACTTCCCCGGAAAACTGAATCCTCATTCAGACAACTGTTTTTTAGATGAAATATCAAAGGTTGAGAACTATGACTGCAAAGACTTGTAAAAGTACTCTTACCTCCATGTGATAGTATCTCTTATACAAGTATACGTACAAGTACAAGTCCGAGTATGTAGACTATATGGTTCAATATCAAGTGTTGGACGTATGCGACAATCTATTATCGACACTTGTTCGGCATCACCATGGTATTCTACAAGTACCTATCTAGTAGTATGGTACTTGTACTTGCGCGGTATATGCCGCAAGGCTGTGCAAGGCTCTGGACCCAAGGGGCGGTCTGAAGGGCTCGGCCTCATTAGCTCCGATGGGCAAACCCACAAAAGCACCGGATCTGCAATAGCGATGGGGCCCCCCAACACCAGTAACTAAGCGAACATCCCTTGTCCTCGCTAGGCCCATCAACCCAAAAAAAAATCATCACACCACCATCTGACATCTGAGTGAGTGACTTTCCCTTTGTCCCACGTGCTTATGATGCTTTGCTGAGAAACTCCATGTCGTGCATATCTCACTAAGGCGCTGGCAGCAGTGCTTGTGCGCGTGTTTGCTATCCATTCATTACAAGTACGCTGGGTAACAAAGACACCTTACTGAGCACAGACAGCACCTCTCTTTCTTGGGAGTCTCCGAACTGAGCGAAATACGGGACCATCTGCGGCACGGGGTACCGGATTATCTAATTTGGCCAGACGCGACCGACTGAATCCTTATCATCGTAAAAGTCAAACCGACGTTGAGGACTCAGCATTGGCCTGGCAGCTTGGTTAGAATCAATCCCTTCCTGCAGCACAGCCCAGGACTTGGTAGTAGTGGTAACTGAGTAAGTAATGCCTCGTACCGCTTTCCTAGTAAAAGAGGCTTTTTCCCCTTTTCCCCGCATCGATCCAATTCCTCATCATGAGATCTTACTGCAAACCTTGTCCCGCCGGGTGCCGCTATAGGCGAGAGCCTTAGTCCCTCAGTGGACCATCGTATGATGGAACATCGAGCGACATGCAGGGGCGGGGCACAGTTCAGTGGTCCAAAGGTGTGTCAACGATCCAGTCATGGCCGTCTAAGCATCGAGCGGAATACCCTTTTTGTGCGCAATCCCATGCCTCCTGAGGAATGGCGGGGGTGGGAAGAGACGCATGCAAGCCCGTCCTCACGTGTGGTTGGGCGGTTTTCTCTCCTCAAAGACATCAGACGGTGACGGCGTCGATCAACGGGTCACGGTCGCTGGGTTCGGGGTCGACTGGGCCGATGAGGACAAGCTTGCTGGCCACATGTTTGGATTCAACACAACGATCCAATTGATCCGGGTGTAGGGAAGAGCAAGAGCAGGCACGCAATTACTCTCGTCACAAGTACAAGAGTGGTAATTCCCCCGTCTCCGTCCCATTGAAACCTTGCTGACCTGCTTTGGTAGATCTATAAAACCCAGACACCTTCGCTCTTTTGACTACGAGTACTTAAAAGTTCATCTCGACACCATTGAGATAAGAATTCCATTGGAAAAGGAAAAATACCAAGGTAGAGGTTTTGGAAGATTCCCTTGATCCGGCTTGTGATCAACTCTTTTTGTCTCCACTACTTTCTTTTTGAACCCATTCCTCCGGAAAAGAAACCACTACAAGTACAGGTTACAAGTACCGATCGAAGAGTTCGAATCAGACTTTCTCCAAGTCCTCGCCGGAAAGACAAGATACAAAAGAGATCACAAAACACCACTACAAAAGTAACAGCCACAAACAAACAAAAGCAATCATGGCCGGCCTTCCGTACTCGGTTCCCTCAAACTACATCATCCGCCTCGTCGAGACGGACCCAGTCTCGGCCGCCCTCGGCCACCCAGAACACCCGGTGCAGCCACACCCGTCGCAGCCGTCGCACTTCCAGTTCCCGCGCACGTCGCTGCACCACGCGACGCTGCAGTCGCACTTCAAGGGACCGCACGCGCCCAGCAGCGTGTCGGCGCCCAAGTCAGGCACCGCCTTCGCCCCGGCCACGGATATCCGCGAGACCGTGCGCGCGTACCACATTGAGATCGAGGTTCCCGGCGTCACCGAGGAGAACAAGAGCGACTTGGTGATTACGTGGATGAGCCCGCACACATTGCTGGTGCAGGGCGTGGCCAGCCGGCCCAGAAACATCGGACTGCTGGACCAAGGAGAAGGAAAGAAGGTGTGGGAGGGCGAGGGCGATGGATGGGCCACCGAGACCGGCCACGGCAAGGTACGTTTTGTTTTCCCTTACACAATTCCCTATCTTCTCCTACCTTCACAACACATAACCCCATTCCCACCTGCCCCCTCCTCTCCCTTCTCCATTTCTCTACCAAAAAGACCACTCGAAACACCAAATAACCTAACACTTTCTCTCTTATGTCAACCCACAGCCTCAGGAAGAGACTGACGGCGGGCCCCTGCAGCGCGAAAAGTCGCACGAGACGCTCGACGAGGAGGCATTGGCGGACGTGACGCCCACGATCCTGCTGTCGGAGCGGCGCGTGGGCGCGTGGCGCCGCACCTTCACCCTGCCCGAGGACGTCGAGATGAAGGAGCTCAAGGCCCGGCTCGACGGCGGCCTGCTGCGCATCGACCTGCCCAAGCGGAGTCTGGAGGACATGGAGGCCCTGAAAGGTGCGGGCGTGAGGATTGAGATTGAGTAAGGAAGGTCCAGAAAAGATTTGTTCAATCCACACCTGTCCACCTGTCCACCTGTCCACCGATAGAAAAGAAAAGAGAAGGAAGACTTTGCTTGCGGTTATGTGCGCAAAGGGCGGCTGGTTCAGTTACAGTTGCGGTCTCTGACTCTGATCTCGAGAGGGCTAGAAAGAAGCTCCATCATTTTTCCTTTTTACCCCCCGTCTCATATCCGGAGGATCAAAAACTTTTTTTTGGTTATTTTGTCACACAAGTACATACGTACCGAACGAACGTATATAGATGATGCGCGTAATACAGTCCAATTTCAGGCTACCATACTCGGTAATTGCATGCTTTGCATAATACCTAGTACCCTGGCGAGTTGGTCAGATTCTACGCTGCAGTTGAAACACGTCAAACACGCCGAGCCAGGAATGGAATGGACGGCGGTAATAATTATATTATTACCTCGTACTTCGCACGTGCAAGGGCATAACTCCTAGGTACAAGATTGTACGTACAAGAACCCTCTACTCGGACCTTCTACTCTAATCGCACCAAGTACCTCGTACCATGGGCAATTTCGTTTCCCCCGTCTGTCAGCGCTACTCATATGACTACAAGTATGCACCGTTGCGCTTTAGGACACTCTATGACATACTCGAACTCGTACCCGCACCCGTACCTCGTAGGTAATCTCACATTATCTACATAGGTATCGTATCCTACTACTTACCACCTGCTGCCTACCACCTGCTACTTACCTGGTTGTGATCGTAATCATGATTGTGGTGGTGATGGTGAGAATGCGATTCATGCACCGAGTACTTATCTACTCATTTTCCAAGGCGGAGAACAAGCAGGGGACTCAATTCGCCAACACGGCGCAAAAGGGGACTCGAGAGAGATGAGATATTATACACTGTACACTGTCCATTGTACATTTGTACGCTCGTCGAACTGGAAGATACCTGCATAGCTATCGACGAGGGAGATAGAGAGATAATCTAGCGAGTCCTCGGTACAGATAACGCCATGATCGTGGGAGAGAACTACATGACTCTGGTAAACAGTAATTAAATGAATAAATACATCCAGGTGTACCCGGTCACGACATATATGGTAAAGGGAGTCGTGTCAAATCAAATCGGTGTACTTGTATATATGCAATGTTCATGTCCTCGGTATTACATGGTATAATTCCTCATAAACTCGTCTCCAAGTACTTAGGTAACATATATCATGAGTATGGTATGTATGTATATACACTGATCAAACGTAGCTCTCCATCCCGCTTATTCATACGAGTCGGTGGGCAGCAAGGTACTCGTACTTTGGTATTCTCATTCTCAACAGGTCATTTTGGTTTCCCAAGATAAGCGCGACATCTAACAAGGACAATTGCACAATTGGTCGCGGACCACTTCATTTCTTTGCAGTTGAAAATCATCAAGAGAACTTCATCCAGGAAAAGAACTCAAGGCCGCCATCATGGCTCTCGTGGCTCTCTGGCCTGGCCACCCCACGTCACAAACGCCGGTACTCCTAATAGAATCCTGGGAATACTTTCACAAATTCCCCCTTGTTTTCTGCAATTTAGACCGCTTGAACCTGAAGATTCACCATCTGCTTCAGCAGACTGCAGTCCTCGCAACGCACTAGCTTCTCCAATACCCGAACTCTTTCGGTCAATCTGTGGATTTCGTTTTCCATGTGTCGCATTTCGACTTCAGTCTGATTGACATAGTTCATGGCCTCGGTCAGCACATCGCTCTTGCGCACCTTCGGTGGAGGGAGACCGCTGGCCGAGTTCGCGGCTTCGATCTCGCCATCCTCGCCCACTTTGGGCCCGTAATGAGATGCTTGGAGGGTGTTGTGCAGCTGGGAGATTTTGGCATTGAGGTTTTCGCGGTACTTGCGTTCCACGAGTGAGTGTGCTTGTTTGGCTCGTTGTTTGGCATCCGCCTTGGATGGAGCAGTGGACTTCGCAGTCGGCTGTTCTTCGTCCTCGTCATCCGAGGCCAATGACGCAGCTGTGGTCATGGTCGGACTGGTTCGGTTTTGACGGCGGGCGTTGGTAGCCGAAGTTCTTCGAGGAGGTAGAGGGACAGTGTCAGGCAGCTCGGTGGTTGCAGTGGTGGAACTTGATGAGCGTCGGGTGGCTGAAGAACGAGAAGTGCTGGTGTTTGTCCTCGAGCTCAACCTGGGCGGCTGATGTAGCTCGACAGACATGCTGTCGTTGCTGATCATGGTCTCACTGGGCGAGGTCGTCGACCCCGTGATGCAGGGGACGGAGGTGCACTCCTCAATCGGTGGTAGAGTGGTGAAGTTCATGCAAGGGGCGTCAGGGCCGCAGCGTTGTGGCTGGCAGCTGTCTACTTGGCCTGCGATGAGAGGACAGAGCTTTTCGGTTGAATCCGTCTTGGATGCTATCGAAGCAGCGATAGGATCCAAGTTACTCATGGAGCGGGTGGTGTTGACAGAGTCTGAAGGTGATAATGTTGTCGTGAGACTGTTGTCGTTGTTTAGCATAGTTGCATCGTCATCAGCGCGTGAGCTGAGCCTCGACTGATCCATGGGTGGAAGATTTGCCTCCATGTTGAGAAGCTGAGAGTAGGAATATTGGGTGTTAGAGTACATGTCTCCTGAGGATCGTCGTGCCTCGGGAGACTGTTGATGGGAAGAAGAGGTCATCAGGCTACCCGTCGACCCCTGGCGGTGATTGGAAGAGTGAAGATACGCCAACGGATCCTGATCTCTGTCCATGGCGGTCGAGTATTTTTGGTCGAGGGGTTGGTGTGAGTGCAGTGTCCCCCGTGACGAAGCAGTGGTAGTGAGCGGAGCAGTGGTGAAGTCCATCTCATGCCACCCCGTGAAATCAATCGAGTCGGGGACGACCATGGCCAGCTGGGGATGCAGAGTTTGAAATGCAGGTTGTCCGTCAAAGTCAGGAGAGCCGTCCTGCTGGTGGAACAGCTGCCGAAAGGGCATTGCGTCCACCGACATGACTACTTTGCCTTGCTGTCCCGTTGGTTTCCTTTGGTTTCAGAGGCTTTCTTCATACAACAGGACCTTCGAGGTCCGAAAGATTACCGTCTCGCGATGGCCGAATCAATCCACCAAGCGCTGACTCGGAGGTTTGTCTACCAGTCTTTTGTCGGCGCTGTCCTCGCTTCAGCCCGATTGCGACCGTCGTTCAGCACTAAACGGAGTGATTGCGGGCGACCTGGGGCGGGTAGTGTTCGAGGGCAGGAGAATGTCAGGCCACAATGACGGTGTTAAGAGGGAATTTAGACAGCGGTGGAGATTTTGGTGTTTGTTGTAGAAGAAGTAAGTCGAGTGACGACGTTGGGAACTCGGCACACCAAATCCGGAGAATTCCAGTCAGGAGCGCAGAGAAGGGTGTTCGGGTAGAGTTGGCGCTGCCAGAGGGTGAGTAAGAGCCCCTCGGTCACACCACGCCTCCCAGCAGTTGTATCGCCAAGCTGTTAGCTGTATTATGTGGACCACTAATAGTGTGAGAATTGATGCTGCGCCTCGGTAGCGGTACCTGCAGTACGTGGAAAAATTACCGGACGGGTCTGGACCCACGCGGAGATTGTTCCAGACTCCCGGGCATGAGACAGGTCGATGGAATTTGTAATGACGGCTATAACACCGCAAAATAAAGTGAAATGCTTTGTTTATGACGGGAATAAATCTTCGTGGCCTGACCATCTGCGCCATCTCTGTGGGGCTTGATTCTTCCTCTGCCGTTGGATCAACCACTCACTTCTCTCTCCCATCCTACTCCCCTTTCAGCCCCCTTCAGCCTTGGATCCTGCGCATCTCCCTGTCCAGAGCGTGAAAGACCAGTCTCCCGTTGTGGCATGGCTCGGAGGCCGCCGTCGTCGATCACCTTTTGTGCCTGTCACCAGAGAACTCGACCTCTTTACCTGCGAACTGGTGATGCGATCACACAACATACCAGTGTTCTTTTGAGTTCTGGGTTCCTGAAGATCGATTGCCGTGTGCTGATGGCTGCAGAGTAACCACACTTTATGCTGTCCACCACCAATGGATGAAGTCGGGCAAGTAAATCTGTGCCTGGCCAGAGCAACCAGATCGCAACAGTTAAAACCTCGTCATGAGCCTGCGATGGAATCACGGTAGGTCACACCAACAAACAACTCAACTCAACCTTGCAATTCCTCTGTGAGAGCTCCAAAACAAAAAGCCAGAACAAAGTCTTCCTTTCCCCAAGTTTTACTACTCTACGCAACCAACAACATCAAACCGCCAAGATGAACGCTATTCGTCAAATCATCTCACGACGCTCTGTCATGGCCATGGGCCCTCGCCTCACCTCCCCTGCTCGATATGCTTCGACAGCCGTATCACATCAAGCCCACCCCAGCATGTCCCCCAAGGACAGACAATTCATGAGAGGGATCTTCACCGTGGCGACTGTTGGAACTGCAGGTGCTGTGGCTTATGGGGTAAGTCTTACCGAACCTTGAGGGGTTCCTTACCCACGAATGCTTCTTTGTTTTAAACTTTCTCCCTCCTCCCCAAGCTTGACGCGTAACATACACAGTCTGTCTTTCTTCTGCCAAGAGTCAAGGCTAACAAGGATGTTCCTCTCCAGGCTGCCAGATCAGGTGGACGGATGGCCAATCGCTTCTCCAAGCGGAACTCGACCCTCGACAGCACCAAATGGTTCGCCGAGAGCTCAGAATATAACCGGACGTTGGGCAACAAGCACTAGAGTGTGGCTCATTCCAGAAGATGATAACAGGACATAACGGTGTAATAAAGAAAGGCGTTTCGAATGTTTCTTCTCGAGGGAGCGGGTTATCTGGGCACAGCGGCCCGTGTGGAGTTATGGCGACAGATGAATCGAAGAAGCTTCCCCGCAGTGGTCAGTTATATACGATCTTTCGGGCATTTTGAAAAAGAAGATCGACAGAAAGGCAGGATTCTCATGGGGAACAAGACGGCAAGACAAAAATCCCGAAATGCACGACTAAGAGAGTCGGCAGCG